AAAAAAAAAAAAAAAAAAAAAAAAAAAAAAAGTACAAACAAACATGAAATGGTATGTTTATGATTGTTTTTCTCTTTGAAAGGGTACCCTTCATCTGGATCAAGCAGTCCATGCTGATGTGGCCTTAATGGTTCTTGAAGCTTATCAGAAGTATCTTGCACAGAAACCGTATGCTGGGCTTATTTCTGAAAGTATGAAGCAGGTATTTCCTCTTCTTATGTATTACAAACTTAAATCTTTGTTTATAAAGGGCCTGGGCAGATGAAGTTACAATATCGATCCTTAGGTTTTCTAAGAACATTCCTGACAATTTAAATGATTAAAATTGGCTCCTATGGTTAGATAAAGACCTTTTCCTTTACAAATAGCATTTTTAATAATCATTTTGGTATTACAGAATTTGAATTGAGCTCTAGTGATGTGCCAGAGCTTACTCATACAGGCTAAGAACTGACTTAAATTTCCAGGAACTTTGCAAGCTAGGTTGTTAAAATAACTATTGGTGGCTTGAAAGTGGTTGTACTGGGAGTTTTTGTACCACTCCAATTTGCAAACTCTGTAAATGAGACTCCTCGCCCTAACTGATTGTTAAACTTACCAGTACATCATTCCTTGAGTATCAACTTTTCTATCACTCCTTTTTTGCTTGAGTTAAGGTCAGGTTTACAAAGGGACTAGAAGGTAAGCGGAAGTAGTCAGCTGAAGGAGAAGTTGCTTTAGTGCAGTATAACAAGCATTAATCACAGGCCAGAAAAAGTATATTCCGTCTTTCAAAAACATAATTGATCATAAAAAGATTTGACAGATAAATTTACTGATTTAATTTGCATGTGACTAATGTGGTGTGAAATAAATGTTTCAGGTTTCCTATTTGGCCAGTATCGTTCGATACGGAGAAACTCCTGAGACCTCATTTAACCAATGGGCTTGGAATTTGATCTTGAGGTTAAAACTGCATAAAAACGATTATGGAATGCAACAGAAATGTCCAGCTGTTCCCTTCTCCAGCACTGTGCCTGACATGACAGAGTCACCCATGTTTCATCCTCTCCTGAAGGCGGTGAAAGCAGGCATGCCCATTGGCTGTTACCTTGCCTTATCCATGACGACTGTGGGCCACAGGTAGAGTGTTCTAGCCGCACATCTTTCACCTCTCAAGATTGGAGGCCTCTATTAAATCTATAGAGAGATAATTAGGGCCAAGTGACCCCCTGTCATTGTTCCTCTACATTGGCAGTTGAACCATGGAGTCACATTCCAGGCCTGTATTTTCTTGAGGCAGGGGCTCACTGTATAGTCCAGGCTGGCCTTGAACTCATTGTGTAGCCCAGGCTGGCCTTGAATTTGTGGTGCCTCAAGTTGTTGGCTTGCAGGCATGCTCCATTATGAGTAACCTGTTTTTTAAATCTTATTTTGAAATAGGTTTTTCAGAGATTTCCAGGTTGGCCTTGAGTTTGTGATCCTCCTGTCTTAGAATACTGAATAGCTGGGATTACAATGGTGTGCCACCACATCCAGATAAACTTTGATTTATCTGGGCAAGGTTATCAAGGGGAAGTGGTGTGGTGCGCAGATCAACTCATGTTCACTTCTTTTACCTCCATATATATATATATATATGGAGGCACTCACATAGTATACACACGTTAAATAAGCTTTTAATAATCCATAGAATTTTTTTGTAAAAGGTAGGGGCTGTGTCTTGTTTATCTTTGTGTCTCTGGAACTTGTACTTAACAGATACTCAATAAATTCAGATATATGCAGTGAATGAATATGTGGAGGAGCATCCAGTATCTGAGTGGGGAAGAGGAGAAAAGGAAATGAAATGAGAATGCATTTGTTACTGAACTGCGTAATTGTGGTAGGAGAACAAAAGTGATTAGGTGGTTGGTAGGGCCAAATTACAGACAAATTTGAAAGCTATCGAAGGCGGTTTTCTAAGGATAGATAGTTATCTAGTAAAGGAGACATAGTTATTTAGGCCCTTAGGAGTGTACACTTTACATTGTTCTTTGTAGCTCTAGTGTCATTAATAGTTTCTTGAATCTCAGCTTCATCTCTAAATGGAAATAATATTTTACTGACTTTATGAGACTTATGTGGGTTATAATACATATAACACACTTCAATTATGAAATAGAGTTCTTTGAGTAGAGCTTTCTGAGCATGTTTCATGATTTATTCTATTCTGGGACTGTAGCTGGTGTGGGTTCTTTCTAAACATACATACAGTACTTGTTCAGTGCTGATTATTGAATCCTGAATGTGCATGAGGGTGAGAATAAAATATTTCCATTTGGGCTGATTCCAGTATGGTTGAGTAGGTGTAGGTGTTCTAGAGTAGCGAAGTAATTTAATAATCTTATGAATGGGCCTGGTTTCTGGTGGAGTGGCGTAGGCAGGGGCGTCATTTGTATATTAGTATAACATTACAGACAACATGGAGAATAATAGAAAATCATCCAGAATCTTTCTTATACTATAATTGTGTTTTTCTCTTTATTTTTATCCAGTAGTTTTTCCTTTGATCTTTTTTAGATTTCTGATGTGTGTATAATTTTGTTTCCTTTGTGGTTCACTTCTAACACTTTAAGTACCTCCATCATGGCAAAGCCTTTGCAGTATTTTATTTTTTGCAGTGATATTTTTTCCCCTAGAGTTAAAGCAATACAATCAAGCCACAGAATTAGCAAAGTACAGAAAAAGCCACTGACTTCTACCATTCTAATACAGTGAACATTTTGGTATGACAATATCCCATATTTTTTCCTCTTGGTTTAACCCCCAATCCCCGTCTCTTTTTTGTGATGCTGGGATTGAACCCAGAGGCTCAGAGGTTCTCAGATGCTAGGCATATCATTTACTACTGAACACTATCCCTGGCCCTTCTTAATTTTTATAGAATTTTGAGACAGTTTAGCTAAATTTTTAGGCTGGTCTTGAATTCAGACTGCCTCAGTCTTCTAAGTAGCTGGGATAATAGACATGTCTAACAGGCCCAGAATATCTAACTTTTTTTTTTTTTTTTTCTCTTTTTTGAGACAGGGTCTCACTGTGTAGTTGAGACTGATCTAGAACTCACTATGTAGCCCAGGCTGGTCTTGAACTCACAGCAGTCCTCCCGCCTCAGCCTTCCGAGTGCTGGGATTATAAGCGTGGGTATATCTAACATTTTTTACTAGTAGCTATAATCAACAAGTATAAAATTTTATATTTTTTCCCCTAGTGTCATTATAAGTGGAAATTTTTCCATGTTGCCCTTTACCCTCACATATACTATTTTAAAATGATGCTGTAAGATTCCCATTTAATAGATTTTCTCCAAATATACTTGTCATTTTTGTATATGAGTTTTGTAGTCATAAATCAGTATGGAAAGTACATCTCTACATGGACCATCTTTTATAGTTTTTTTTTCTATATTTGAGATTATTTCTTAAGGCTAGATTTTCTACAGTGAACTAAAGACAAAAAATTTTTAGTCCAAATTGGTATTAGAAGAATTTTGTTAGTTTATACCGAGGGATTAAGTTTATTTTTGAGTCTTGTCTGTGCTGTTGTAACTTGTGGGGATATCCAAACAGGGAGAATACCCAAGACTCTTGGAAGAAGCACTGTTTGAGAGACAAAACAGGATTGTAGTGGGAGCTCTGAAATAGGAATTTGCAAACCTGGGTTCCAGAACACTTTCACCACAGCCTAGGAAATTATGTGAATTTGAGCATAATAGCCTCTGTTCTCATCTGTAAAATGAAAATATAGATGAAATTTTAAGTATCTGTACTTTTAGAGTCTAATGTTTCTGTCTGGAGATTGGGTTTAAAAATGTGTTGGAGACCTGAGCTAATCCAGGTATCCTAGGCTGATAATCTATAATGTCTGCAAGAATTTAATTTTATGAACTAGCTACCTTGTATGCCTATTGTCCTTTCTTTTTCCATAGCATTGTGAAATTCTGTGTAGAGGGCATCCCACTGTTAGGAACTCTGATCCAGTCGAGGCATTTGAGAACGGTGGTGCATGTCCTGGATAAGATTCTGCCTTTGTTCTACCCTTGCCAGTGTTACCTTCTGAAGAATGAACAGTAAGTATGTTCACTCGGTGCAGGAGTCATTCTTGAGAAACAGCCTAGCGACTACAAATGACTATGTCTTCTGGTTTCTGAACTAAAAATGGAGTATTTCAGCAGTATGTTTATGAGGCAGAAAATTTCTGTACCCCACTTTAAAATGAGGTTGGTGAACAGAGACTCATAATGATTCCAGTTTTTTTATCATGAAAGATATTTCTCTTCTCATTTAACTTTGGATTGCTTATTTAAAGCTTATTAGTATTTTTTTTAAGTGAAAGCAAGTGTTTTATTTAAATCATTTGTTAAATCACAATTTACCCAAATAAATGTAATGCAACACTGTTCTTAAAGGAAGGGGCACAAATAAAGCTTATTAGTATTTTAAAGAGTGGTTATTTCCCTGAAACTTTGGGAATGGTGGTCCTAACCTTGAGCAGCAAATGGCATTGACCTTTTAAAATAACAAAACATAACATTTTTTTTTCTTTGGTACCGAGGATTGAACTCAGGTCCTTGCACTTGCAAGGCAGGTGGCAGAACCACTGATCCAAATCCCCGGCCCCAAAACATCCATTTTCATTGCCTACAGTATGTGTAGTGCAGTGTAGTGTAGTGTTGCAGACAGATAAGATACATAGGAAGATGGGAGGAAGACTATATCCAAGGAGCAGGGGCTGGATATGGAGGAGCCCTGCTGTGGGTTAGGTAGTACTTTAGGTGTGCAAGGGGAGCATCATAGTTTTTGTGTTGTGTATCTTTTCATTCAGCATGTCGCAGTCTTGCCTGGTGATAAAAATCACCTGAGAGAACTCATAAAGTATAGTTTACCATGCTCCTCTCCTGCAGATTTGACTTGAGTAGAAAGTTGTTAGGATCCAGAGGAAGCCTCTCCCACTTTAAAATGTAAAAACTAACATCCTAGGCAGCAGGGAATTTTGGGAACTGAACAGTTTTGAAAACATCTGTGTTAATTAGTGGAGGTAATCTGTTAATTAGAGAGGTTTGGAGGGAATCATGATCCTTTTGGAATTTTTCTCTAATGATCCTTAATTTGCTTGTGTTTGAGTGTGTTGGATCTATGCGTTACACGTCTATAGATAAATAGAATTCTTTTTAACCCACATTAAATGTGAAAACTTTATTCTTCTGAAATTCCTGAAGATTTATCAGAATCTCTAAATAGCATTATGGTCCAAAAATGGGACCAATTAACATTTTTCTGTTTCCTCATATGTAAATAACTGCTGACAATTCTTCTGATTCCTGATGGGAAGATAAAGTGTGTGATCCTTTGTGCTTGGCAGGTTTTTGTCACACCTTCTTCTGTTCCTACACTTGGACAGCGGTGTACCTCAGGGTGTCACTCAGCAGGTCACCCACAAAGTGGCACAGCATCTAGCAGGAGCCAGCCATGGGGAGAACGTGAAGCTTCTCAACAGCATGATCCAGGTTAGGGCCCTTGCAAGCCCCTAAGTACACTTTTGTCCATCTTCCCAACCAAAAACATCTGGGATCAACACATTTATGATGTCATTTTGAATCATGTGGTGCAGTGCTTTGGTCTCAGAGGCCAATGTATTTGGGCTTTAGTGGAGGTAGATGGTATTTTGTTGGTGTTTTAACAGTGGGATGCTGGTTATTACCTTTCTTATTAGCTAAGATGCTTCTTGCAGGCACACATATCTGTAAGCACTCAGCCCAATGAAGTGGGTCCTGTTGCTGTGTTGGAGTTCTGGGTTCAGGCGCTCATAAGCCAGCACCTTTGGTACCGAGAACAGCCCATCCTCTTCCTCATGGATAACTTGTGTAAAACAGCTTTTCAGCTGATGCAGGAAGACTGTGTACAGAAATTACTCTACCAGCAACATAAGGTAACCTGTTAGAGAATTTGTGTTTCATTTGTTGGCTAGATAGTAACTTTCTAAAAAATTCTCCTGAACACAGTTACTGGTATTACTTGGTGGCCACTACTTATTTTAAGCTTTGCTTTAATGGTGTCATATCTCAGTAATCATAGTCTACTAGCACAGATCCCAGGGAAGTCAAAGGAGAGGACAACCAGAAGAGGCTCTGCTTATTACATTTATTTGTGGTATACTGCCTGGGACTGTGGTGCTGCGGGATTCTTTCCTCAAATCTTTGTCATAACAGGATCTTCCCTTGTAGTAAGACAATTGCTAATGCTCTTGAAAGAGTTAATGATAAGATTTTTTTTCTTTTCCGGTATTGGGAATTGAACTCAAGACCTTGTGCTTGCCAGGAAGGCACAGTACTGCTGAGCTACATCCCAGGCTGATAAGATTTTTTTTTTAAAAAAAGAAGCTTCCTTTCTCTGTTCCTGGTATAGAATGCTTTGGGTTACCACTGTGACCGGAGTCTGCTGTCTTCTTTGGTGAGCTGGATCGTGGCAGGCAACATCACTCCTTCCTTTATGGAGGGCCTGGCCACACCCACTCAGGTACAGTCTACTAAGAGGGCCATTTGTGACATTTGTGAACTTTAATATTGTTATCCTTACTAATAGATTACTACTAGCTGACAGTAATCTTTATTTAGCACTTGCTATGTATAAATGTATTCTTAACCTAATCGGCATAACTTTTCTGTTGAGATGCAGTCACTATTCCTGTTTTATAGACGAGTTAACCGAGGTTAGGTTAGTGTCCTGGCTTAGGTTAAGAGTATACTCTGAAGCCAAATGGCCTGGATTTTAATCTTGGTTCTGCCATTTGTTAGCTCTGTGCTTTCGGCAGCTTGCTTATATTATTGTCAAATGGGAATGTAATTGCACCTACATGGAAAGCATTTACAACAGTGCTTACCACATGGTCAGTGCTAAGTATTGGCTGTTGTTATTGTCATCACTAGCAGAAATGGCATTATTTTAATCGTTAAAAACGCTCAGCTTGTGTGTGTAAAATCACTTCTGTTTCTTCATGTAAATCAGTAGTACATCCTACTATCTACTAGGCTTGCTTACTGCCTTTCCTCATACCTTGTGATCACATTGACACAACTCCTTGACTTGATTTAGACTCATCCCTGCTTTTCTTCCTCTGTGTCTCTGTCTCTCTGGTTCTCTGACAGGAATCTTTCCTGCAGAGCTCTGCACAGAGCCTTATCTGAGATAGCCCGGCACCTCATTTCAACATGGCTCCCTTCACATTTTTGGTTCCTAATATTTCATTCTTGTCTAATAGGTGAAAATATTAAGGTTGGAGCACATGTTTGGCCATCTTTTCTGGTACTTATATATACAGAGCTTGCTCAGGAAATACTTTTGAGTGAATGAATGTCCTTGTATTAAAGTAGCCTTTCCAAAAGAATTTAACATTTTCCAGTTAGCCATTTTTGTCTAATTTTAGAAATATGTGAAGAATGTAGATAGGTTTTAAATGTATTAATGTTAGAAACTTCTGACTGGTATCAGTCAGGGAAAAAAAGTCTGTGTGTGTGTGTGTGTGTGTGTGTGTGTGTGTGTGTGTGTGTGTGATGCAGGGATCAAACCCAGGTCCTCATGCTTGCTAGGCAAGGATATATCACTGAACTACTCCCCAAAACTAGAATAAAGATTTTAATTTGTGAATGTTCAGGATATTTTGTGTCAGTTGGAGTCAGTGAATCATTTTTCTCCCCTTTGCTGGTGTCATTGTAGGTCTGGTTTGCGTGGACCGTGCTGAACATGGAATCCATCTTTGAAGAAGACTCCCAGCTCCGAAGAGTTGTTGAGGGTGAACTGGTGATGAACTCTGCTTTTACCCCTGACCAAGCTCTGAAGGTGCAAATAGTAGTTCTTTATTCAAGTGGTAGGAGATGGCTTGTACTTAGTGCTAAGAGATTTCACCTTAGCATGTGAACTGTTTTCTTTTGTTATGTGGGTTTGGAAAACATAACCACCAAACCAATAGTTAAAATATTAATGTAATTGAAGTGTATACTTGACTGCCCAAGATTGTTTTAGTAAATGTGTTGCTGAAGCAAGTGCCCCAAAGTTCTTTCAACAACTAGAGTCATAACCCAGTAGTCATGGAGTGTGTTCATTGCCCAAGGGAAGGGATCACTGTTGTTTTTGAAGTAGTTGCCCTCATGGCTCAAGTGTATCAGAATCCCTTGGAAAATTATTACAAATCAGATTCACAACCCCAGCTTCTGAGATTCTAAGTCTCTTGTCTGGGTTGTAATTAGGAGTTTCTTCTTAGAAACATCTTTGTTGATTGTTAGGTTCACTGTTGCCTGACGAAGACTGGAAAAAAGCTTTAGATCTAAAGAACTTCTGTTTTAGGTGCCATGGTGTAGACTTAGCTTTTGGATTTCAGAGCCTCTTAAGGAATTCATTATTCTTGGAGGTCCTTTTAAAATCTAAATTTCCAAAACTTTGGTAAAGCTGAGTGTCAGATTGTGTGTGTGTATGTGTGTGTGTGTGTGTGATTCTGTTACCTTGCTTTATAGCTGTTTTGTGTGTGTGTGGGTACTGGTGATTGAACTCAGCACCTGGTGCTTGTGAGGTAGGTGGCAGTACCACTGAGCTAAATCCCTGGCCCACTTCATAGCTTTTTATGTGCAAAGAAATTTCAGACATGTAAAGTTTAGATTAGATGACTCTTAAGAGCCATTTCGATTCTGGGGCCTGTGACATGTCTTGACAGCAAAAAACTACCCTGCATATGGCTTAGTGCTGGGGAGGTTGGAGTGTTAGTGGGTTGGAGAAATGAATTTTATAGGACATTTTCTCCCCTTTTTTCTGGTACCATGGATCAAACTCAGGATCTTGCACTTGCAAGGCAGACGCAGTGCCACTGAGCTAAATCCCTGGGCCAACATTTTTTTTTTTACTGAGTTTAAAATGAAATGTTTACATTTCATTTGGTTCATGTAGAGCCAACTGCAGTTGTGTTTATTTTGTGATTGTTAAAGCCTCTTCTCTCTTGCAGAAAGCCCAGGCTCAGCTGAAGCTCCCCATTGTCCCATCCCTGCAGAGGCTGCTGATTTACCGCTGGGCCCATCAGGCTCTGGTCACGCCTTCAGATCACCCACTCCTGCCACTCATTTGGCAGAAGTTCTTCCTCTTGTATCTTCACCGCCCAGGACCACAGTATGGGTATGGTACAAGTTCCTGTGAACCCACTACTGAATCTGTGTGTTCTTACATTGTGGAGTGTGAGTCAGAGTCATCTTTGGTGACCTCTAACTAAGAATCTCCCTTCTTTAACATTTATCGGAGTAACTCTTTTTTGCATTGGGGTATAATGTGGCAACTTTTCTTTATCATCTTCTATCTCCAAAATAGTACCCTAGAACCGGGCAAATTTTAGCACAAGAACCTTTGGAGGTTTAAAAGAAAATAAATTTCCCCAAACTAAGGTTGTATGTGTGACTATCATGGAGCTTATAAGAGGGGACCTTGTGATGAATAGTGCAGGTATGAGCAAGGCCACACCTTGCCTTGTGCTTGGGCCCGACAGTTCCACTGGATAAGAAGGTCCTCTGGCCATATGGAACTGTTTACTATTATAGATCCTTGCGTCTCAGTTTCCAGCCCCTATATTCCCTTCACTCCTTGGAAACGTAAGGATGCTGATTCTTTGTCACTTCTGTTTACTACGAGTCTACAAGTTTTTCAAGAGCAGAGACTGTTTTTAATCTGTCCTGTTTCTCTAAATGGTGATGATGCCTTGAGTTTATGTAGCATTTTATTCTTTTAAAAACTTTCACGTAGTATTCCCCACTATGTCTGGGGTATATGTTCTAAGACCTCCAGTGGGTGCTTGAAGCCATGGATAGCAGTGAATCCTAGATATACTGCATTTTCCTGTAAGCACATACCTATTATAAATCCCAATTTTTAAATTGGGCATTGCTGGGGTTGTGGTACAGTGGTAGAGCATTAGCCTTGCATGCATGAAGCCCTGATTCAATCCCCAGTACTGCAAAAAAAAAAAAAAAAAAAAAGGCATAATAAGAGATTAACAACAAGTAATAATATAGTAGAATAATAATTATAACACAAGTTTTTAAAAACTTGTTACGTATTTCTAGGATTTTTTTCATGTAATATCTTTGGACTACAGTTGACTGAGGGTAATTGAAACTACAGAAAGTGAAACCACAAATGCAGAGGGTGGTTGTTGTATACACTATCTTGTTGCATCTTCAAGGTAAAGGTAGAAATAATAGATTTAATGGTGTATGTACCCAGCAATTGTAACTTGTCTTGTTAATTGACTAGTTTTTGCCACATAGAAAGAACATCTTATGTTGAAAGGTTATAGATCTGTGTTAATGTTTTTTAAGGTTACCCATAGATGGTTGTATTGGAAGAAGGTTTTTTCAAAGTGCTGCTCACATCAATTTGTTGAAAGATCTAAAAAGGCGTCTGACTGAGGTGGCTGACTTCCACCATGTTGCAAGCAAGGCCCTCCGTGTTCCAGCAGAGGGCAGTGAAGGGCTGCCAGAGAGCCAGAATTGCACTCCTGGTTACCTGACTTCACCAGAGCTGCACACACAACTCGTGAGGTGAGGAGGTTACTGAGCCATTTCTGTTTTCAGCAGCACAGATACTGTGCTGGAGCGCATAGCTGTGATAGAGTGTTGAGCTGTTACTCTCATCCCCCTGTTAGATTGAGAATGATTGGTGGCTTTGATATAGGTTTGCTCCTTGAAATGCTTCTAATTTATATTCCTTGAGAAATGTGTACACCTTTTTATTTAGATGTCCAGTGGCCGCAGTCTATGTGGTAATCAGAGGGCTGGTGGTAGCTTCTTCTATTTCTTTATGTAAAAATAAAAATAAACCCAAACAAATTGGTCATAGTAGGCATCTATCAGAACCTGCTAGAATATTTCCTCAAAACAAATAAATTTCTATAGAGGAGCTCTTTAATAGTGGTTCAGATCCCTCTGCCTCCATGGGATGTAGGGATCTCCCAAAACTGCTTATCAAATTAAACATAATATTTGTGTGCCCAAAAAGGTTGAGAAGTCTGAAGTAAATGTAGGTTCTTTGCTTACTCTTTCTTCAATTTGCATTTGTAAATTTAATATAAATCAAAAATTAGTCATAATTAAGACTTAATAAGAATAACTGATAATTATGAACCCTGATTATAAAATAGTTGATGAGGAAACCCAGCATTTCAGTGTAATACTGAGCCTCAGACTTGGATGACCTCAGGCCCTTTGGGCCCAGTCTTAGCTACCATAGTTATTCTTCCCCTTAGCTTTCATGGTTGAAGGAAAATTTATTTTTTTATCAGGCTTAAGGAGTGGAAAGCTTTCTCTTTGAACAGTTTAGATCAGCCAAGAAAGACTTTGACAATCCATCTCCCTTAAATCCCTCCTGTGGTATATTCAGAAAGTGACTATCTGTCTTACTGATTCAGGAATAGGAAAAAGAACTATGTACATTCCAGCCTCTTCCCACCCTGTCCATGTCTGTGTTCATAGATACACAGACATAGAGGTAGTGCAGGTAATTTTATTGAGTGAAGCCGTGCCATGCCACCTTCTAGTCTCCCATCCAGTCAATTTCTTTGTATGTGTGCAAGCTCCTAAGCAGTGGCATAGAATGCTAGTGATCTTAGGTAAATGGTCTGTGTTCCTTGTAAAAATAACACATAAGGAAAGGAAACATCATTATATTGTTTAAAAAGTTTTTATTGGAAAATTGAGAATTTTTGGTAGGCCTAGCTTTGTTTTATTCATTTTTATTTTTTTATTTGGCAGGGCCCTGGCTTTGATGTTTTATTCCTTTTTAATGGGAACAGGGTGCACATATACAGATAATTTTATTTATGATTCCTTAAGGGAGTAGATGGCCATTGGCCTTAAAACTGGCAAATTCTTCCAGTACCAAGATTTAAAATGGTTTTTAATACTTTCCAAGAACTAAGATTTAGTGTGGCCAAATTGCTGTGGAAGGCAAAGCTCTAAATTCAGATTGTAGGAGTGTGGTGTAGTTAACCTCCTTCAGTTATTTTTTCTGTGTACGTTAACCTTATTAATAATGGAGCTTTCAGAGCTCCTTCATCAAACCCTTTGTTTTAGCAATTATCACATCATATTTTAATGATCTGTGACAGGTCTTCTCTGCTGACCTATGAGTCTCTTGGGAGGGGTTGTAGTTGTTAGACATATTTTCTGGATTGCGAGCTTTCTGTACTCTTACATAGTGGTGCTACATTTCCTAGCAATATCAGAAACTTGATTTGTCTGCGTATCTTTTTATATTTTGTGTAACTTTTGTCTTTTAGGCTCTTCAATGTATATGTATTATGGCTAGAAGATGAAAATTTTCAAAAAGGAGATACCTATATCCCTTCTTTACCAAAGCAGTATGATATTCACAGGCTAGCCAAAGTGATGCAGAATCAACAGGTGAAACCATGGCAATGTCTTACTTTTAGCATTTCCGAATGTAATTTGAACTGATCATAGTTATAATCTAATGGTAAAACAGCTTGTTATTTTGGACATTGTTTTGTGGGATATAGAAATAATTGTATTGGGGGGATGTTCCTGCTTGAATCTCCAGCCCCACTGTGCCCTGATCCCAAGACCTAAAGCTCTTCTAAGGCTTTCTACAACCTCATAAAAAAATGTAGCCTTTGCTGACTGTGTCTTTCCTTATTTTAATTGTCAGCAGCTGAGCACTTTTAAGCCATCATTTTACTGTAGAAAGCAGGAAAGGTTTGTAAGGATCCTTGTATTATGTAGGAGGTCAATTGCAGGGAGGAGCTCACCTGTGTTGTCTTTGAAGAGGCTTTCTTGTCAGCATCTGAATTTAGATCTCCCTTCTAGAGCCACTTGATTCTACTCTCAGAGTTTCTCCCTAGCACCCGAAGATGTCTGTGATCCTTCTTCAGACCTGGACTTCTAATCTTGGTTTTCTGTAAATTTTAATGGCCGGCTTGTGGGGCAGGGAATGTGGCCAGGTTGGGGGAGCGTTATCTCCCTGGATGCTTTTATCTAGGGACTTAACTGTATTTGGCATTGACCCCTTATACCAGGATGGAATTTAAGATCCTCTAAGATTTGAGAGACTTTGTTTGGATCCTTAAACCTGCCTACTTTACACTGTACATAGTATTTCATCTCTAATAGGAGTCTTGTTACTTTTTTCTGTTTTCTTTGTCCCCTTCCTTTCTTCTCCCATCTCTTTCTTCCATGAGTATTTATTGAGTGCCTTTTCAGTGACAGGTGCCTAATGCCAAAATCTGATACAATCCTCTCAGAGGAGCTTATAGTTAAATAGAGGATTAAACAGTTATCACATATTGTGGTAAGACTGGTAGTGGAATGCCCTGGGTGCTGGCTGGACACAGAGGAGCAGCCCCTGATTTAAACTGCGCAGAAGTGGTGAACTGTGAGCTGAGCCCTGAAGGACAAATGGGAGTTAGCCAGGTTGAAAGGAAAGACATGGATGGAAAGCGGCAGAGAGGTTATTAACTAGTAGGAAGACTAGCATGTGCAAAGACACAGCACATGCAAAATGGTATGAGACATAGCAGCTGAGAAGGGTTGACAGGACCAGAGATGTGAGTGGGATAAAGTCGCTAAGGACCACGTACCTTTCTGAAGAATTTGGATTTAATCTGAAATCTATTTGATGAGCTATTGAAAAAGTAGCAGTGATTAAATGGATGAATTAAAATAGTTGAGGAAAGGATTTTGTGTCTGGTCAGATATGCATAGATGCCTGTATTTCTAATTCAGTCAGTGAGAATGCTGTTTACTGGGCGAGGAAGTGCCTGCAGGTTTCAGAAAGAACTTTGTAATCAAGCGGAGATACAGTGGACCCTTGACTTATGAACTTGGTTCCCTGGGGCTGCTTGTAAGTCACTACAGCTGAGATCTGCATGTTTTCCTGAGTATACACTAGATAACAAGAGGCAGATGAATATTCCATTAACCTGATTAACCCAAGTTGTTCGTATGTCAGTAATTTAAGGGTCCACTGTACAAATCTAGAATTCAGGAAAGAGGCTGGGTGGGAAATGTGGATTTACTAGTAACAGAATGTTGAGATTCAGAAGAGGACTGGAGGTGGAAGCCTGGCATTTAAAGCACAGAGAAATAGCCAGACATGGTGGTGCATGCCTGTAATCCCAGCACTTGGGAAGCTGAGGCAGGAGGATCGCTGTGAGTCCGAGACCAGCCTGGGATACATGGTGAGTTCCAGGTCAGTCTCAACTATATAGTGAGACCTTGTCTCAAAAAAAAAAAAAAAAAAGCACAGAGAAATAAGGCTGAGAAAATAGAGCTAGTGACACAGGGAAAGCAAGTCTGCTTGTAGTGTCCTAAAGTTCCTAGAGTGCTGTTCCATGCCCATGTCTCCTTTGTATTCCACACCCTAAATTCTCATCTTAGCCTTTGCACATATTATTTGGTCAGTGCTTTTAAAGATTAACCATAGCAGGCAGGCAGGTGGCACATGTCTGTGATTGCAGTACTCTGGGACGCTGAGGCAGGATAATCACAAGTTTGAGCCTGGTGTGTGCTCAAACCACCTCAGCAAGACCCTATCTCAAAAATAAACAAGCAAATAAATCATAGCCTTCTTAGTTCTCTGAGATTTATCCTGACTCTTCAGCATCTACAGAATTAATTACTTTTTGGCCTATCATTTGGTGAAACACTTTTTTTGATCTTTCATTCAAGGTTGTGTTGTTTTGTCTTTGCTCACTCATCTGTAACTCAGCATTTGCTTTAATCACCAACCTCTGTCAACAGCTGTTCAGCACAGAGGCAGAGATGACACATTGATCCCATTTAAAGATGAGGTGTCTTCATATTTGTAGGGTCAATGACAGTGTGGTATAGGTAAGATTCAGGAGTGTGAGCAGGATTACTCTGGAGTCTGGAATGCCTTGTCCTGTGGTTGCTTTTAAAATAATGATTTAGGACTTCATAGCAGTACCTAATGGAGAAGCCAGGACATTTTTGGTTTAGAGGGTCATTGGGCCTTTAGAACACTTATCATCCAAATGAAAGAAAATCATGGCCTGTAAAACCATAGTCCACATTCAACCACTTACTGTTACTCTTTGAAGTACTTATTAATATGTGATGGTATTTGACAGTTTTTGTTTTTTAGAGATATTCTATTCTAATAGGTATGAGATCCAAAGTTAAATTAGAGTTCAGAATATGTAAGACAGATAGATTATGGGGAAGAGAATATTAGAATATCTGTTTCTGATCTCATTTTATTTATTTGCTGTATATTTTATTATGAAAGAACATTGTATTTACTATTTACTATATCTTTTATTGTGAATAAATTCCATCATATGGAAAAATAAACAGAATGGACATGTCCTTCTCCCTCCTCTCATACAGCATATAACTCATTTTATCTATAGCTCATGTGTTCCTCTACCATTTTATCTTGGAGTTAAGTCTAGAGCTCACTTAATACAAAAAGGTTTTCAAAGCTAAGGTTAAAATGAAATAACCCAATAGTATTTATATCTGAAAAATATTAACAGTAATTTTTAGTATCAAATATCTAGTCTATTCAAATTTCTGGTTTCATAAATATCATAAAAGTTTTGTTTTTACTTATTTTTTAGTTTGAAGCAAGACCCACATTTTGTCATTGGTTGTTTGATCCTGTTTAATCTCTAGGTCTTTGCAGTATTCCCTTTTATTTCCTTTGAAGAAAATAGGTGGTTTGTCCATAGTTTTTCTACAGTCTAGATTTTGCTGATTTTATCTTTATGGTCTATCTTAACATGTTTTCCTGTCCCCTTGTATTTCCTGTAAATTGG